TTTCGATTATCTAAACAAAGTCCTTGTGTATACGGTATCAATCGAAGCTGTGCGGCAGAAAACTTTCGACACAGTGCCGCTTTGATATTTTAACGCACGTCGTTCATTATATGATCACCTTTAAAGGCGAGTCTGGGGAAGACGCTTTTCTTCGATATTTCGCAGGCGAGAATAATCGATGTCTTTCGTCTGCTATGCACATTAATAAATTTCTCTGGATAGCCGTTATCCAGTAGCGTCCTTCGTAGAAGGACATCTTCTTCATGGACAGTACCAGGGGAGCACATATTCCTGACGCGATGGAACAGAGTCTTCATCAGACCTCTTTTGTGAGCCACGGGAGCGAAACTGGCAAATTGTAAGTAATGCCCACTCCATGTAGTCTTTCGGTAGATTGATCTTTGCAAGGTTCCATTTGATCGCCTCCTGATTTTTATATCTAAAAATGTAAACAACCGTCCTTTTTCTCGTCAACGGAAACAGAGAGATTGGGATGAGTAGTATTAAAAAGTGTTAAAATGGTGTTGAAATGCTCAGAGTCGGTAAAAATCAAAATATCATCAACATAACGTTTGTACAAAACAGCCATTGAGATATTATCATTTAATTGGCCTTCAACCATTCCTAGAAATACATCGGATAATGTTAGGTCTAAGGGACTGCCCATTGCTACGCCGTCAATTTGTCTGAGCGCTGTACCTTCAAATTCAAGATGTATGTTTTCAATGCAAACAATAATAATATTTCAATGGTCGTCTTCCTCAGACTCGCCTTTAAAGGTGATCATATAATGAACGACGTGCGTTAAAATATCAAAGCGGCACTGTGTCGAAAGTTTTCTGCCGCACAGCTTCGATTGATACCGTATACACAAGGACTTTGTTTAGATAATCGAAAACAGAACCAGCCAAACAATTCTGCTTCACATATCGTCTACCAGTTCACCTGCAGTTGCGGTGACACTTACATCGGCAGAACGAATCAGCTCCTGGTACAACGGATGTCTGAACACATTCCCAAGTGGTTGGTACAATCGATGACGCAACAAAGTCTTAGAGGTCAAACCGATAGGAGAAATCCAGGGTTATCAATCGCAGCACATCTCATGGCAACTGGACACATCGTTGACCCACAAATGTCGTTCAAGCCAGTATTACATAACTTGAGACTCAGGATTTTGGCATTTAGCGAGGCGATGCTAATCAAGTTAAGTAACCTCCAGTTTTTTCTGTTTACCTATAGAAAGATGATCATTTGAGAATCCATTATATCAAGTGAGTGATGGAGGATTTGAGTTGATTTCAAAGGTTATTCGTCGTGTATATGGCAAACGAAACGTGAACTGATCAGCTGCTCGGTGGCGTAGTTGGTAGCACGCTTGCGTTCTGCCTATGAAGTCCCGGGTTCGATCCCCAGTGAGGTCGATGGAGTCGCACTGCTGATGAGACCCAAACAGGTCGAAACAGCTGTCCAGTGCTTCCTAGCTTTTCGGTTCACGTTTCGTTTGCCATATACACGACGAATAACCTTTGAAATCCATTATATGTACATATATATACGATAACAATTTTATTTGCAATAGCGTTTGAAAGCCTCAGTATGATCTGGAGTGGGTGTCTAGGGCTGCGCCTGTTCACCTTTCTCTTGCACCTCGTCCAGTGCTCCTATACTACTAAGCGTCTCAAATAGCCTCTACTGCTGAAGCCCTAATCACTACCTTCTCCTGGAGGTGTTTTTCCACCAAAGTGAGAGGACGAAAAGCTCACATCTGAGGCTACTACCGGGTTGGTGGACCACGGTATTTAACCTAGGGGACTTGTCCAAAAGCCCTGACTCTAAATCAACCAAGAGAAGGCGTACGAACCACACATAAACCTTCCCAGTTGTGGCAGTGATCACGGGCTCGTTTGGGCATGGATTTGTATTGAACACCTTGGACATTTGACCTCGTCCATAGGGCGTATAATCCGATGAACTGGAAACCGGACTCCGACTGATTGCGGCTTAGGCCTTGGCTAACCGAAGGCTCCGGTTGTGGATTTCTCGAGAAATTTCACCTGCCTTGGACTGGTCAACCTGGCAGTGTTCAGCCAATATGCAAATTATGGAAGGTTTTTCTTTTTTATAAAGAAGATTGTACTATGATTTGCTTGGCACACAGTCTGGCGTCAGAGGTGTGTGAGATATATGTCCCATATTAGGTAGTTTGTGAATGACTGGCATAATATATATATATATGCATATATATATGTATTATTGGTAATAGGTGTCAGATAGGAAATTCGAAAATGTATTGATTATTCAATGGTATGCGTTATTACTTATATTCATGAAATTTGATAACCATATAGTTCAAAAACGTAGATCGTGTGATGCACTTTCAGATGGATAACAACAATGAGCATTCGGCAGTTTTGACCAAGCGATGAAGCTCAACAAACTGTCACCCCGGAGAAGGTGTTCAAATCCCACCGTTACCACTTGAATTTGACCGTTCTCTGAGTGATGTATGGCACTCTTTTAATCGGCCGCTTCCCGTTCCTGATAAATTATATTATTAAATATTTAATAAGAAGGAGTAAAGCAAAAAGAGAAACACCAACATACAAGAGCAGTAAGAGCTGAAGAAATAATAAATAACGATAACTTGACGCGTAAAACAACAATCGATGATAGCAAGAGATTCTGTTTAGCGACAGAAAGTTCGTCATTAACTAGTAACTTGACTCGCATATGCAGACATCTGCGAATGCGAAACAGAGGATATTGAATGCACTCTAATCTTTAGTTGAATGGATAGAGCGGGGATCGTAATGATTGGCACCTGCAATGACTATTGCTAACAGATGGGGTCGGTATAACGGCTCTAGTTCCTGTTAAGCAACCCGTTGAGTCGGAGATGGTCACGTTTGTGGTCTTGTTGAAACAAGGACAATAAAATGCTATCATTCAAATGCGATAGCCTTCTAAATGATGTGCGCCAATAGTTAAAGAACCGCACATCCCCAGCTGCTCAACATTGACTTATTGCTTCTACTGGTATAAACGTGAACAAAATTATACACGGTTTGGAATCCAGTTGTTTCACATACTGTATACTTGATCACCTGCAGTTGCGGTGAAGCTTACATTGGCAGAACCAACCGGGAATTGTCAACACACATTCCGTGGGCTTAGTAAAGCTGACACAAGCCACACTCGATAGTCGGGTGGTTATACGGAACCCCAGGTCACCTACCGCAAAATGGCTCATGAAAACCAAACCTATAATTGATCACTCTTCCTCTTACAAATTCGTAATGAGT